GAATCAAACCATGATCTCTTGGTTCATAGGTCAACGCTCAACCTCTGAGCCACACCGGCTGGGCAGTTTTATATGTGTTTGACTCTGGTTTTGGTTGAAAGAACACCCTGCATCCTGAAGGAAGGCACCTTCACCTTGCAGGGGTAGCTTCTTGGCTCTGCTCTCCCTGAGCTGTCTGCTGCAATCCAGTCTTCTATCAAGCCAGCCACTTCTAGGTCAGACCAGTAAGTTCTTTGGTAAGACCAGTAAATTCTTTGGGCATGAGCTCATTTGACAGTTTTATTGGCTATAAAATGCATGCCTTGGTTGGAGGAGGTGGTGTGTGGCCTGCCGTGGCGCTGGATCAATAAGGTACTCTGTAGGTCCATGAATGGTGGTGCTGACAAAAGCAAAGTAGGCAGAAGTGAATGCATACCTGGAATGTGTCTGTTCTTGCAAAGATAAAGCACAGCCCTTCCATGCTAGCAAGGTGAAGCCAAAGCAGTCTACAACCAGGTGAGAATGGTGCCCACCTGGGGACTCAGCATTGAGCTGTGAGTAGGAAGGACCCTCAGCCCTGGCCACAGCAGGTTAGTCCCAGGAAGGGGAAGACTATGCTGCTGAGACAAAGCATAGCTTCCATCCCTGCCACCATGGTTGACAGAACAAGCCCTGGAGTGCCTGCGGGAAGAGGCTGATCATGGTCCACAGAGCTGCCACGCTGTCCACCTGATGACCATTCTTTCCCACGCTGTGTTGTGGGTCTTTGTAGTTACCTTGCCTTTGGCTGTTAAACATCACCACCTGGCCCGGCTGGTGTGGCTCACTGGTTGAGCATTGACCTATGAACCAGGAGGTCACAGTTTGATTCCTGGTCAGGGCACATGTCCGGACTGCAGGCTCGATCCCCTGTGTGGGGCATGCAGGAGGTAGCTGATTCATGATTCTCTCTCATCCTTGATGTTTCTCCCTTCCTCTCTAAAATCGATAAAAATATATATTAAAACACACACACACACACACACACCCAAAAAATATCACCATCTGGCCTTTATCTCACCAGGACATCATGAGATCAGAGAATCCAGTTCCAGCGATCCTCCTGGCACACATCCTCCCCACGCCCCATAGCATTACCAGTCTACAGAGGACAGCCATCTGAGAAAATCAAGAATGCTGCTGTCTCTCACCCATGCACCTCCACATGCTCTAGAAAATGAGTGTTTTCTTGACCCCCTTCAACTATGTGGCTAGAGGTGGCTAAACAGATTGCACAGAACAAATCCAATCCATTGCTCCCATCTCTCTGGGATGTCAGATTCCTTCCTCTGGAGTATGCCAGGGAAATCCTGGCATTTCAAGTTTATTAACTACAGGCTACCATGAAGTTCAGGCTTTTATTAATGCCTCCCCCAGGTGCTCAAGCCAATACATTAAATACTAAATCCTGATGAGCGTCCATGGCCATGAGCTTGGCCACGCTGAGCTGTACATTCCACCCTCCTGGGTCTGTTTCCCACACATGTTCCCATGGCTCCTGCCAAGGCCGGTTGGCAAGACCTGTGACTCTGTCTGTCTGGGCATTCTCCTCTTAGCGTGGGCCTGTGCAGGCTGTGCTGGGATCTAACTCACGAAGGGCCTGGAGCCAAGGAGGGATGGAGGTGGGAAGGGCTCTGGGGCTGATGTCCTGGGAGACAGGAGACCTACAGAGGATGTTGTCTCCACAGACAAGACTATTTCAGGAGAATTTGGGGATTCAACCATGGAATGCCCCATCCCATCTCAGTGTCCCACCCATTTCCCATCAATGCCCTTATCTTAGCCTAAGAGACTAAAGGGTTAAGCATTGAATTAGCATTGCAACTTGGCAACCCAATGACACCCTGGGGCCAGTCCTCAGCCTTAGGTGCCCTCTCTGCCTATAGGGATGAGGGACGTCTTCAAGGCGCCATCAAGATGTTCTGATTGCTCACCCTTCCTTCAGAGTTCTGTTAAAAAACCCGGCTGGTGTACTGCAACTGAATTCTAGTGCCAATCCCCCAGAGTTAGCACAGACCCCACAAGTTACAGGGCCCGGTCCCCAGCAAGACTGCTCTTGCTTCAGATGCCAGCTGCACATTCAAGAAGGGTTCCCAGCCCACAGGCACTTTTGAGTGACGGGGTAAAAATTGTGGATGCCCACAACCCCCTTTAGGTTCAATAATCAACTACAACAACTCACGGAACTCAGGAAAGTGCCATTCTTATGAATAATTTTATGAGGGCATGCATCGGCAGGACCAGCCACAGGAAGAGGCGCATAGGGCGAGGTCTGGGAGGGTCCTGAATGCACAGATTCTGTGACCAGAGTGTGTGCTGGGGCTTCCTGACACAGGCACAGTTGATTAAATCATTGGCTGGCAATTGAACTCCATCCCCAGGCTCTCTCTTCTCCCTGGACCTCACATGGCTCAAACCCCCACCCTGTCATAACATGGTTGGTTTTTCTGGCGTGGCCGGCCTCAATCCTGAAACCTCCGAGGGGCCACCACGAATCACCTCATTGGTAGAAACTATCAGGGCCCACCATGAATATCACCCCTAATATCTGAGAAATTCCAAGGACTTAGTCTCCCTCCCAGGAATGAGGGGGAAAAAGCCAGTCAAATTCTTTATTGTATAGCACCCCGTATGGCCAGTTTCCACCAGACTAGCTTCTCAAGTCCAGCTTTTTATTCTGACAAGTTTCAAACCATTTAGATGAAACAATTCTTAGCATTTTACCACAATTTGTGCTCTCAGTAAATCAATGCCCCAGTCATTTCCCCTTCTTCCTTTTCTGTGGTTTTAGTTATTGGAGGGCGACCATAGTCTGAAAATACTAAATAGAAAATTCCAGAAATAAACAATTCACAAATTGTTGGCTTTTTAAAAAACATGTTTTTATTGATTTCAGAGAGAGGTAGGGAGAGGGAAAGAGGGCTAGAATATCAACAATGAGAGAGAATCATTGATCTGCTGCCTCCTGCACGCCCCCTACTGGGGATCCAGCCCACATCCTGGGGAATGTGCCCTGGCCAGGAATGAAACCTTGACTTCCTGGTTCATGGGTCGACACTCAACCACTGAACCACACCATCCAGACAACAATTCACGTTTTAAAGCACCAGCCTTAACCTGTGATAAGATCTGGAGCTGTCTTGCACCGTCCCACCCAGGCTACGAATCACCCCTTTGCTCAGCGTGTCCACACATACACTGCCCGCCTGCTAGTCACTTAGTAGCCATCTCAGTTGTCGGATAGAGAGGCCACATTAACGTAACTTTTACTAACTGTTATAATTGTTCTATTTTATTAGTTATACTGCTAATCTCTGAGATGAATTTATCAATTAAACTTTATCATAGGTATGTGCACACATATGGGGTAAAACATAGCAGATACAGGGTTCAGTACTGTACATGGTTTTAGGCATCCACCAGATGTCTTGGAATGTATCCTGGCAGATGGGGGGGGGGGGGGTTGGGCAAGGTGGCATATTATCTAATATGCAGACCATACTCAAATTTTCCCAAGGGTAAAATGACTTTTATAACTGATTTTCCCAAAGAACTTACATGCATAGCCCATGGACATGGGCAATAGGGTAGTGAAGACCTGGGGGAAAGGGGGTTCGGGGCTGGAAAGAAAGGGGGGAGGAGGAGGGCAAATGTAATATTATCAACAATAAAAAATATATTTAAAACATAATGACTGACTTCCCATCCAACTTGGATCCAATCCAGGATCACACTTTGCATTTTCATGTCTCCTTTAACCTGACATGCTTCCTCAATCTTTTCCTACCTTGCTTTCTTTTTTAGGACATTCAAAAAAGTTTTAAAAACAACACAAATTTGTTTTTTGTGTGTGTGTTAATCCTCACCTGAGGATATTTTCCCATTGATTTTTAGAGAGAGTAGAAGAGAGAGGGAAAGAGAGAGAGATACTGACGTCAGAGAAACACTCTGATTGGTTGCCTCCTGCATGAGCCCTGACAGGACGGGGAGGAGCCTGCAATGGAGGTCCGTGCCTGTGCCCTTGACCAGAATCAAACCCGGGACCCTTTGGTCTGCAGGCCGACACTCCATCCGACTGAGCCAAACTGACTAGGGCAGAACAACACACATTTGTAATCTCACAATACGGAGGCCAGAGGTCTGAAATGGGTTCACTGGGCTAGAACCAAGTTGTGGCCGGCTGCGTTCCTCAGTTCCTCGCCTTTTGCAGCTTCCAGGAGCCTCTTTATTTCCTGGTTTGTGGCCCCTTCCTCCATCTCCAAAGCCGGCAGCATATACCCTCAATCTGCCTGACTCCGTTTCCATCATCGCATCTCCTCTGCCTCAAACACCCTCCTTCTTCTAGGGACCTGGTGATGCTCGGTATTTGGCCTGCCCACAGGATCCAGAATGACCTTCCACAAGATTAACATTTATAAAGTGTCCAGCAGTCCTTAGGCAGGATGATCTCCCTTTGGCTTGTCTGTTCATTTCCTCAAAGCGCGGAGCAGAGGGAACATTTCTGGCAGGAGAGATGTAGCATTCCTACATCCGTAGTGTCCTCAGGAGACACACGGTGCTAGTGTGTCCTGTTAATGGAATGAACTTTATTCCATTACGAAGGTGGTGTGGCCACATCAGGCTGGCTTCCGATACACTTAGAAACCTGAGAACCATGGGCCTGGCTTTCCAAGCAGCCAGAGGGACTGGGGCTCGCCTGGCCTGGCTTCCTCTTTTCTCACCCCCTGGGGAACACCAGGGAGTCTTGATGGAAGCGAGGGGCCCGCTCCGCAGTGCTGTCGCTCATTCCCAGCTCTCTGGAGGCCCCCGGAGAAGCTCCACGGCTACTTTGGTCCGGTGCTGCCGAGTCCAGGACGTGATGACCGCCTTGTGATATGCAGGTGTCCTGGTACCGGTACGTGGGGCACTGCTGCGTGGGCATGAAAGGGGGTGCATGCACAAACGGGGGTCCGCATGCGCGTTCAGTTATTGCGAGCCTCTGGGTTTCCCCAAAGCCGTCCACTGCGGAGGCCCGGGTGGGTTAGCTGGGTGTGTGTGTCCAGCGTTTCTGAGCAGAGCTGGTCCTGATTCTCAATGCTCCCCCGGCCTGGCCGGCTTGGTACGGTCTGTGGCCCCTGCCGGGTGGTTGCACCCACACTTCCCGGAAATGATCGCCTCCCACACGCCGGTCCCCTGCGCTCTCGGACATGGACTCGCCGGGCACTGCGAGCTGGTCCGGCCGAGCTGCCGCGCCCGCGGAGACAGAGCCGGCCTCGCCGACCCTGGCGCAGCTCCTGCAGCTGGTGCAGCAGGGCCGGGCGCTCCCGGGCCTGGAAAAGCGCCAGATCGCGGCGACCCACGGCGAGCCCACGGCGTCCCGGCTCCCGCGGAGGCCCAAGCCCTGGGAGGCCGCCGGCCCGGCCAAGGCCCCGCCGCCGCCCTAGCCCCGGGCCCCGGCGCGCGGACCCCGGGTGGGGATGGAGGGCACACCTGGAGGAGCCCGGCTCGGCGGACCCAGGACCACGTCTTCCTACGGGGCTCGAGATCCGGCTGCAGCTGTGAGATCTGGAGGGCCACTGCCCCGCACAAACTCGGTGCTGACCCGTTACTCGTCTTTCGTGCTTCCGCCCTGACCTGTCTCAACTGGACTTAAGCGTCTCGGAAGCACCACGGGGTTGTTTTGTGTCCGTATTTCTGTACCACGTACTCACAAAAATTTTAAAAAGCCCTTAAATGTAATGGAAACAAATCTCACACTATTTGCTGTGCATCCATGTGTTTTCATTTTTAAAGTGCAACTTGGGACACACTGAGAACTTAGAAATGTTGGTAATGTCTGTTGCCATACTGCTTCAGCTTATTCTGATGGTTGTGGAAGTGCATTTAGGATTCAAGTGGCATTTTGATTTTGGACAGCCACTCTCCAGACAGTTAGTAAAAGGTGTGATGGTCAAATCTGGCCTCAGAATGACTTAAATACATTAAGCAAGTGAAATCCTAAGGCGTTGAAGAACAGCCAATCAAAACCCAGAACCCTTGGCTCATACTCCCTGCACCTTCTCTTCCTGCTTTTCCCAGGAATAAGGACAGTCCCACTTGTTTGGGGAGTGGTAGACCATGGCGCACCATACAGACATGCACAATTTTTATGACCTTATTTACTGAAGGCCTGGTGCACACAAGGTGAGGTCCCTCAGCCTGGCCAGAGATCCAGACCTATGGGGAGGTATGAGGGACTGACCACCAGGGGACAGCTCCTACTTGGAGCATCTGTCCCCTCGTGGTCAGTGCATGTCATAACACTGGTCAACCAGTAGTTCTGGTTGCTTAGGCTTATATATACTGTTTCCCTGAAAATAAGACATCCTCCGAAAATAAGACCTAGCGCATGATAAGACATCCCCTGAAAATAAGACCTAGCGCAACTTTGGGAGAAAAAATTAACATAAGACACTGTCTTCTTTTCGGGGAAACGGTAGTACTAGAGGCCCAGTGCATGAAATTCGTGTGTGTGTGTGTGTGGGGGGGGGGGTGGTGTGTAGGGTGTGTATGTCCCTCAGTACAGCCTGCACCCTCTCCAATCTGGGACCACTTGAGGAATGTCCGACTAAACAGGCAGTTGGATCTCCCTCTCACAACTGCTTGCCTGCCTGCCTGATTGCCCCTAACCACTTCTGCCCGCCAGCCTGATTGACACCAAACTGCTCCCCTGCTGGTCTGATTGCCTCTAACTGCCCTCCCCTGCTGGCCCAGTCATGCCCAACTAATCTCCCAGTGGCCTGGGTTGCCCACAGCTGCCCTCCCATGCAGGCCTGATCCCCCACAACTGCCCTCCCCTGCCAGCCATCTTGTGTTGGAGTGGTCAATTTGCATATTACCTCTTTATTAGATAGGATACAAAATTCTAAATGAAAGATTTTGCTTAATCCTTTTAACAACCATGTGAGGCAGACAGGCTAATTAGCCCCATTTTACAGGCAAGAGTGAAAATCTTATTCCCATATTTAGTGTAAGACAGATCTGGGATACAAACTGGGCTTCCACAATGCTCTTTCCCCAGGAGTTTTGATACATCACTAATTGATTTCACAATGCTCTCTAGTGCAAGAGTAACAGCTATTCCTGGCAGGTTAACTTCTGAGCCAACCAACCTAATTAATTACCTCATAACCTGGCACTTTGAGGCACTGTTACACATTGGCACACTTTGAGGCATCCGTCTATTATGAGGGTCCAATGAGCCAAAACTGCAGCAAGGCTAATCATAAGGGACCAGGCGATGCTGGCTAAGCATATTTTAAGTCTTAACCTGGATCTGGCACACCTTCACCAGCTGCTTAGATGACAGGCTGAGGCAACTGAATGACAGAGGCTCACTTATGACAACATAGGCAGGATCAGACCCTTTTAAGTGTAACATCCCAGGAGCATTAGCGTCCTAATGTTGGTCTATCACAGCATTACAAGCAGGATAGAGAGCAATACTTCCGGAGGGGCCTGCAGCTTAGAATATGCAAGAAAAGGATTTAACTAAGCTTGCCCAGGACCTAAAAGACTAAATAGTGCCAATTTCATCCATGCCAAACCAAGAAAATGGTTCTTTTTTCCTGATTTAAAAGAGGAGCACTGATCATGAGGGAAACCAGAAAACTGATCATGAAGCCCCAACAGAAATAAATGGGGGACAATACCCCAAGTTAAAGACGGTGTGGGGGCTCACTCTCCACCACTGTTCCTAGCAGGAAACACCCACTAGCTTGACGGGAAAAGGGGAGTTGTAAGCTGTCGCCTTCCACAGGACAGGGAACCAGATTGGCAAGGCCAGGCCTGGGCAACCAATGCTGAGTGCAGGGCTTTCTCCTGTAAGGTGCGTGGGTCCCTCAGAAGAGTCTATGAACACCCTAAACCCGAGCAAAAACTGGAGTGTATGCATGTTTTTCCGGGGAAATGGCCCTTCCCTCCTCACAAATCCATTAGGTTAAAATCCTGAGCTATGGTAAGGAAGCCACCAGATACAGTTAGAGGCAGCCAAGCCTGAGCGCTTTCCAAGCTGTCACTGAAAAGCTGGGCCGCGGACACAGCAGAGACAACTGAGCCCCGTTTTTGTGCTCCTCTAAATGTATTTCAAGTTCTTTCCAAACAAGGCAACAGGAACCCCGAGTTCAGTCTGCTCTGGGCTGGGTCACGCCGCCTTGTGCTCGTGCTGGGGTAGAGATGTGACACAGGCCCCTCTCCTCCACGGCATGAGCCTGGGCTGATTTCAGAGGTGGCAGCAGTGGCCAACGAGGGAAACACACTGGGCTTTTCCTGTGGACGTGGGACATCACCACCATGTTTCCCTGGCCCTTCCCTCCGGTTTCTGAAGCTACAGCAGAAAATGATCTTCTTTGAAGATGCTGGATAATTCCAAAATACAAACACATGCTTCCAATGCGGTGTGCTTTCAGGTATTCTGGAGGAAGGAAAACACAAGTTTGTTCATTCAAATGAACGGTGACCTGGCACCTGAGAGTACTTAACCACAATAAAGAGCAGAGTTCAGAGTCCTTCAACAAAATAGACTGTTCAGATCTTCAAATTCTTCCTATTTAGTTTTTAGTATTCCTCTCTCCCCACTTGAAGCTAAATAACCACACCAATCCAGAGATTTTTTTTCACTGCTCAACATTTTCTAGCCTGTAACTCTTGGAATACGCAGTCCCATGTCCTAACCAGGCATTCGCCCTTCCAAGCAGGTCTCCATCCACTAGACTTGTAAATACCAGCCTCCTCGCGCCCCCAGTGCCAAAGTTCCTCTCAAATACAGGTAAATGCAAACAGGATTTGTAAGTGGCAAAGCCCAGCCCAGAAAGCCAGCCACAGTGCAGGTGTGGCCCGCCTCACCTGGTCTAGTTCAGCTGCCGGATGAGCTGGTTGATGCGTTCACCTCGATACCCAGGGGTGCCCACCTCCTTGAGGAAGCCCACTCTGTTCTTGGGAGCATGGCGCGCCACTGAGAGGTGGAAAGGGCACAGGAACCCTGAGATTGCCTGGAAATTCTTCCCCGGGAAGGCAATTTCATGAATGAGGTCTTCCAAGCAAATGACACCAAACTTCCCTAAGAAACACAAGGGCTATTCAACATTTCCCCAGCATACACTGAGGCTCTCATACACCAGAACTGGACACTCGGGCGGGTTCCTGGGATCTCAAGAATATAATCTGGATCCCACACAGGACCACCAGAGCCTTGCTTTTTGCCAAAACTTATCCCTAAGATGCAGTACTCACCCAGGTGCTCCTCAATCACTGTGTTGTCTGTCAAAGGGATGATTTTATTCTTGACTTTGGCCTGCCCACGTTTCAAGATGAGCTCCCGGACAGACTTCAGATTTGGAAATCTAAGTGAGGAAGAATAAAGTACAGCCTTAGTTGTCCCCTGGCACACTGCATTCCATCGCCACTCAGTCCTGCAGCCTGGCTGAGGAGAGATCCTCCCAACTGCCCCTTCCCCTCTCCACGAAGCGTCCTGCAGTCACACCGCAGCTGGGACGCGAAGGCATACCCAGTGAAGGGGGTAAAAAAACCTGAGCGGCTTGACTATCCAATTAGAAATTACAATTTATGGACATAAATGTTACCAGCCAAAAGTTTATTTTCCAGACAAAAATAATCCCTGGCTTATAGTCTAGGACTTGGGCCTTAGGTGACCCTCTACTCAAGATGGTGCAAGAGTTTGATTCAAGTCTTTGCTGGGTTTTAATGTTTGAAGGAACATTACTCTTACCCAAACACAGCTCCCAGTTCTGCTTTAAGACTCCAATAATTAGTTTTTGTTTTACCCAATGTACTTAGCGGTGGCCCAGAGGAACAAGCCCTGCCATGGTACTATCCACGCACATCACCAGCGGCACGGGTAACCCCTTGCTCTACCTGCCCCGTGTTCCAAGGTTCCTGTGGCTGGCCACTGATTTCTGGTGACTGTGGTCACAGCAAAATGTTCTTTCAGCACAGCAACGGGAGCCTTGGAGAACAGGACCCTGTGCATCCGAATGTTCTCAACATGCTCAAATACAACCTAATGAGTCCACACACACAAAAGCTTACTCACCCCCAGGTCACATAAGGCTCCACTGTGCGCAGCGTTTTTATGGTCTGGGGGGTCACTTGGACAAAGACACCACTGAAAATCTTCTTCAGGCGAAGCCTGGCAATGGCTTTCTGTACCATTACGCTCACCCCTCTGATCCTGAGATGAAGAGCAGAGAAAGTCAGGCTCTGTTTCTTTAGTCAGCCCAGCCCGCACCTGTGAGATGTACGCCAATGCTGGACATAGTGAGAGCAAGACACAGAATGCGCCTTACAGAGTTCAGCAGAGGAGGCAGTTATGGAAGTGGGTCATTTCCACACAATGTGCAGCAATGCCTGGGGTGCTATGGCAGTGGCTGGTAAAACACGGCTCACAAGCCACATGTGGCTCTTTGGCCCCTATATGGCTCTTCCACAAAATACCACATTCGGGCGTGCACGTACAGTGTGATTGAAACTTCGTGGCCCATGTGCAGAAATCGGTTTTTGGCTCTCAAAAGAAATTTCAATCGTCGTACTGTTGATATTTGGCTCTGTTGACTGAGTATGCTGACCACTGTGCTATGGGAACAGAGTGGTCCCAGAATTTGTGGTGTGTGTGGGGAGGTGTAGGCCTATGTATATCAAGCTAAGAAAGCAGGACTTGCTTCTGTGGACAGTAAAGCATTGGAGAATATTAAGTAAAGAAGACAGGATCAGATTTCTTTTTGGGTACAGAGGATAGATCTGAGAATGTGACACCAGAAGCAAGAAAAGTTAGAAAACTAAAGTGATAGCCCAGGAAATAAGATTATTGACAGTGTAGGAGGGCTGGTAAGCTACATAGGCTAATAAATACTTAAATACACAGGTTTCTGGTTTGGGTGATTGGGCAGGGGAAACAGGAAGAGGCAGAGTTGTATGTGCAAGCAGGAACGAGTAAGGAAAAATGCCTGGCCAGTGTTGCTCAGTGGTTGAACATCAACCTATGAACCAGGTCACATGCCCAGGTTGCAGGCTTGATCCTCAGTGTGGATCAGTGCAGGAGATAACCAGCCAACGATTAGCTCTCTTCATTAATGTTTCTTTCTCCCTTCCTCTCTAAAATCAATTAAAAAATGCAACAAACAAAAACCAATTTTCATGTCACTCTCCTGAGCACTGATTATGCTCCATCCACATCACCCTGGTTGTTCCTAGAAAGATGCCGATTCCCCACTTCAGGACTTTCTGCAGCTCCCGTGGAAAGCCTTTCCCCAACACTGGTGAAGTCCTGACATGTTTGCTTCAAGCTCCTGCTTTAGAAGTGTCTTCAACCTGTATACACAATGTCTCCTGCCCCCCACCCCCGCCCCCACCAATGCAGAACTTAACCCTCACAGCACATAGTGTATATCTGCCCAAGATCAGTTTCCTTATCCTCAAAAACAAAACCTATGCTGTGCTCAACCCTGAATTCCTTAGTGGCTTCAGGCCTATTATCACCTCACCTCCCTAGAAAGGGGCCTGAAGCCGAATCACTAGTTTGCCCCCAGCCTCGCATCATTTAGCAAGGGACCTACCTCTGGATGCGTACAACAAAGGCCAAGGAATGTTCATCGGGCACTTCCAAGCCATGAGGCTTCCCGTCTAGACGTCTGAGGCGCACTTTGTCACGCTGTTGCCGCCACGCATCATGTAGGAACCATTCTAGTCGCTTAAACTGGATATCTTTTCCTTTCCTGTGCTACAGAGAGGCAGACCGTCACACTCGCCAACTTACTTCCAGGCAGTAATGTGCTGATCACTATGAATAGAGCTTATTTCCCCTTAAGTTCTGCAAAGGGAGCAAACGCCTTCATTCTTATGCAAAGAAAAAGTGAGATACCCAAGTAAAGATGGAGTTGAGAAAACCTGGGAACTGCTGAGAAAAGTCCTTGATAAGCTCACTCACCGTGCTGTTAGCCAATGTTTACCTACAGGCGTGTTTTTTTTTTTTTTGTTTTTTTTTTGTAATCTAACATTTAAGCATCATAGAGTACAAAACAAGCACGAGTTTTGTTCCCTGCCTCCAAAATATATATTTACCTCAAAACATTGAGCAAATTGCACATTTAAAAAAAGATGTTAAGATTTTTTTTTCCCCCCCAGTGACACGTCTAGTCTCTCAAATCACTGGGTACGAACCCAGATGGTATAAGCTTTCATCCCACGTTTTCCTGAACAAATGACTCCAGTATTTTGCCCACAGTAAGTGTATGAAAAATATTTGCTAAGTGAAGACATGAACCATATATGTGGTACAATCGGACTGATGGGGGTGAGGTACCAGATCCAGTTCAACCCATGCCGGATAAAAATCAACAACTGTAAATCCCAATTCCACCCTCCTGGGTCCCCACAATTACCTCTTTCTTTTCCAAAAGTGCCCGCTTTGCCTCGGTGGCTTTGAGCGCCTGATAAGCCTTCCTCTTTTTCAGGAGATTTTCTGGAACCAAAGGGATCTTTTTCCTTTGCCTGATACAAAAAACTGAGGTCAGCGACAATATCTGGGAAATGCATCTTCAATGGACTTCCAAACCAGTTCCTAGGCTTCGGAACACATCACTGTCTTCAAATTCCTAAGAATCGAGACTCCCCTGAAACCTGTGGCTTCTGACTCCAGTCTTCAGAGCGGACCCGCACCATTCCCCTGCTTGGAAGCCTGAACAGGTCATTGAATGTCATCCCGGGCACCAGTCAGGGCACAAACCCAGATTGAGGTGCCTGCCCGAGGCAACCGATGGATGTTTCTCTCTCTCTACCTAAAATCAATAACAACATACAAAAAAACTGTTCCTCCTAATGTCAACGTAGCTTTTACTGATAGCCTTTTATAGACACTAGCAGCGAGAACATCCTTGTAAAACCCAGGGGTTGGGGCGGTGCAGACCCATTCGCAGCGGGAATCCTACATCGGGCTTGGTGAACCGAACTCCAGCCCCGCGGCCTGGAAGCCAAACCTCGCCCCTCCATGTAACCCGAACTTGACAGCCCCCTCGGCCCGCCCGAGCCCTACGATCCCCACTCTACACCCCCTTCCTCTGTCATCTGGAGCCTTTTCCATCCTCTTCCTTCGGTTCACAAGTATCCTTATTCCCCGCCAACCCGTGGATGTCACTGGATGCTCTAGGATCCACGCCAGAGAATCAAAGTCCCAAATACTCACTCTTCCTCCGCCATCTTTCCAAAGCTGCAGCCCCGGCGCATGAGCAGTCCTACCACGTGGGACAGGGAGACACCGTTCTATGTTTACTTGACCATAGAGACGTCTATGGTCCTCCCGACCCGGAGGGCAAGCCTCCCGCGAGCAGCAGCCCCCGCTGAGGCCGTGCTAAACCCGATTCCCGCCAGACGTTGCACAAGGCTTTCCTTACACTGATCCCAGGGGTGTTAGAGCCCTGTAATTAATACTCAAAAGCCTTTTCACTCAAGCTATAGTCTCATATGCCAGTGGCCGGGCTATAAACAATGAAACACTTCCCACAATGCACCCGCGACTTCCGGTAGGAAGTGGGCGCCGCTCCGCCGGCTTCCGCTGCGCCGCGCAAAGGGAAGATGGGCAGTTCCGGGACCGTCTTTTGGGTCCGCCTGGAGGGCGCGCGGCGGCGGCTCGGGCTCTCTCGCGGGGCGGAGGTCGCCTGGACGACGTAGGCTGGGAAAAGGCAGCTCTGCTTCGTCTGCCCGGCTCCAGCAGCGGGCCCTGGGTCGATGTCTTAGTTTCTTTTACCCGCAAAACGATGTAAGAATGGATCCTACCTAATAGCCTCCGGAGGGGGCATGTGAGCTGCTCCATGGGAAGCCCCTAGCACACTGACAGCAAGCAGGCAACGCTGGTGGCTACTGTGCCGGGCCGAAAACCAGGGATTCCGCCTCGTCCTCTCAGAGAATTCCCTCCTGGAATACGCTCCCTTCTCGCCTGGTCTTAACAAACAACGGGACGGAACTCAAGGCCTGTCTTCAGAGCATCGCGTCTCAAACATTAATGTGCACAGAAGCCCCCCAAGGACCTTGTGAAAATGCAGATACTTATTCGGGAGGGGATGGGGGAGTCAGGTCGGTAGCGGCATTTTTAACATTTCAAAGGGATGCTTCGGGTCTAGAGAATAAATTTTAACTAGCAAGGCTCTACAGTAGTCTCTTCCGTTTCTCTGAATTCCTTCACACATTTCTTCCCCGCGACACTAGAAGGGCAGGGACCGTGCCTGCCTGGCTCATCCCTAATCGTAGAGGTGTAGCGCAGGTTTCTCTTTCTTTTTCTCTATTTCAGCACGGGTTTCTTCATCTCGGCACTATTGCCATTTGGAGCCCAGATAATTATTTGTTATGGGGGGCTGTCTTGTGCGCTGTAAGGGCGTTTAGCAGCATCCCAAACTTTGACCCACTATAAGCCAGTAGCATCCCCACGCCAGTTGTGGCAAAAAAGAAAAGAAAAAAAAAGTCTTCAGGCATTGCCAAGTACCCTAAGGATAGAGCAGTGGAGTTATTTGACGGTCAGCCCTCCTAGAGACCACCAGAGACTTCATCCTGTACCATTTGGCTTACTGTTTCCCTAATTAGACCAGGTGCTCAGAAGGCAGGGGACTTGTCTCAGACGTCTCTGGTCTTCTACAGCACCTGTCACCACAGTGGACGCCGGCAGGGGCTTGTTGACCAAGTTCAAGTTCAAGGCATCAGGTTGGTATGTGTTATGTAGCCAGTCCCACCAGAAAGAAGGTGCCGTGCACAGAGCTCGCTCCCTGATGAGCAGATGTCAAAGGACGGTGCAGTGGTCAGGGTCACAGACTGTGGCGGGAGGCTCCTCCCTCATCGCCTCCCTGCATGTCTTCCTTTGTGAGGAGCCAAGCACAGAAGCATCGCCGAAGTGCAGCACACCCATTAGACACAGAACAAAGAACAAAACCAGTCAATATGTTGTAACTTCCCCGAGAGATAAAAGGCAGGCTGTGTGGAAGGACATGCTCGGAAGAGGACTTTCAGAGGCACCAACGGGAAAACAGGAAGGTTTTCGGGTGCCAGCAGGTGGTGCTAAGAGAGTCCTTATTCTCGGTGCCAAAGCCATCCTCCCACCAGGCTGATCAGAGGAAAAGGGATGGAGTCTTCCGCCAAAAATCCTTCACTAACTGAACACGTTCACTGAGCTCCGAGCATGCGCTCACACTGGGTGAGATGATCATGGGGTTTTTTCAAAGGGAGGTTCTTGAATGAGAACCTGGCATGGCCATTCACAGCCTCGAGAATCTTATTCTCTGTAGCTTGTCCTCAGAGGCTGCTCTCTTTTTCCTTGACCACTTCAATTGTCCATCATTAGGGAATAATTAAATATATTATGGAAGGCCCGGGCCAGGTAGCTCAGTTGGTTAGAAGGTCCATCCTCCTTACAGCCCAGATTCCATCTACTGTATATGTGTCTGGGTCCCCAGGGTCTCTCTTAGAACTGGGGTTCAGTGCTATCAGAACTGGGGTTCAGCACAGTCCGGAGCTTTTATCTCCTTCCCACTAGGGAACCCCAGCCAGGCACTCAGCTGCCCCTCCTCTCCGGCTCCGTCCTCTCACACTCAACGTGTCTCCATACCTTAGGCTTTTATTGCTCCTCTGATTTTTTAAAAAAATATATATTTTATTGATTTTTTACAGAGAGGAAGAGAGAGGGATAGTTAGAAACATCAATGAGAGAATCATCGACCAGCTGCCTCCTGCACACCCCACATTGGGGATGTGCCCGCAACCAATGTACATGCCCTTGACCGGAATCGAACCTGGAACCCTTCAGCCCACAGACTGACGCTCTATCCACTGAGCCAAGCCGGTATTGGCTGCTCCTCTGATTTTCCTTCTGGTTTTCTCTTTCCTTCTAGTTGTAGAATTTTCAGTCAGTCAACTTTCCTGTAGTTCTGGATAATGTCCACTTTATATTTTAGTTGTATTTTTTGAAATTGTTGTGTGAGGCTGCAGTTAGGTGGTTATCTATGCCGCCATCTTGGTTTCTCTCGGAAGATGTAGAAGGTCATCCTAATACAACAAAGTTGCCTGTTCAACACCCAGTCAATGCACATACAAGAATCAACCAATGAATTATAAGTGGAACAACAAATCAACATGTCTCTCTCTTTCTCTAACTTCCTCTCTTTCTAAAATAAAAAAACAATTAAATTTATGGAAGACTATGTAATTATATGTAGTGATGTAGGTCCCCAAAACTTCAATGGTAGGTGTTTTTCACTTTTTGGCCTGCTGACATCCAATCTCATGCCCCAACAGTATCCCATTTCTCTAGTGAACTGTCTCTCCCTCATCGTGTACATCTGTGTGAGTGGAGTACCACAAGCTTGCCCTCCACACATAACTGAAAGGGTTTCTGGGAGATCAGTTCCAGTCCTCTTACCTGCCCAGCGGGAAGGGCATGGAACCATACACTTACCTTCTTTGGTTTTGAATCTTGAGCAGTGGTGATGGGAGGAATGTAGGTTTGGGGCAAGCCGTTGAAAGATTCCCACCTGCTGAGTGAAACCTGGAATTTTCTTGTTCCTGTGCTTCTCAAGTCTGTGTTTTTTCAAACTTCCCTTCAATCCTTACCCTTCCTATAAAATTCCTTATGCTTGTTAACCAGATCGGTTTCTGTTGCTTGCAATCAAAGAATCCTATAAAACCATAATATGCAAATTGACTGAACGGTGGAATGACTGGTTGATATGATGCACACTGACCACCAGGGGGCAGATGTTCAATGCAGGAGCTGCCCCCCTGGGGGTCAGTGAGCTCCCACAAGGTGAGCGCTGCTCAGCCAGAAGCAGGGCTCTTGGCTGGCGAGTGCAGCGGCAGTGGCGGGAGCCTCTACTGCCTCCACAGCAGCTAAGGACCTCTCAGGGGTCCCAGACTGTGAGTGGGTGCAGACTGGACTGAGGGCACCCCCCACCCCCCACCCCTGACTATAAAATTCCAAGACATTTGGAAAATGTCTATTGTATTGTATTTGAAAAAGCAAGGTACAGAATAGGATGTGAGGGAATGGTCCTAGTTGTTTTTGTTTTTTGGCTATAGATGTATTTGTATATTATAATTTTGGAAGGACATACAAAAATGTGTAGGTGGGTATTATTTTTGGAACATGGGAGTGGGGCGTGGAGTGGGAGCAAGGCTTACATTTGGTGGTATGCCCTTTGTTTATCACTTATTGATTAGTTTAATGAAAACTTCTAGGTCATCAGCCTCTTATGACTTGTCTGTTTTAGAAACTCCTTGACTATATGTTTTTTAAACTCCTTTCAGGGCCAACATTTCGTGGTTCCCTGAATTAACCCCAGGATCCCTTTGCTAACAAAACCCACAGTAAGTTATGTCAGTATTCTGTGCACTTTGGGGTTATTTGTAGTCCTACTCTTTTCACTTAATTAAGCAGTGCCTTCTCCGTAAGGCAAAACCACACACACACACACACACACACACACACACACACACACACACACGGGTCCGTCTGCAGTTTCCTATCTGCCCCACACCTCCTTCCTGGGTTAGGACCCTTCTGGCCGCCCACTTCCTTTGTTTCAAGCTTTCCTGGTTGCTTCCTCAGAGGGACGTGGGTTACCAGGAAGCATGTGGGAAAGAGATCACAGCAGGTCCTGGAATAACATCGTTACCTGACAACGTTGATGAGATGCCACAGGAACTGAACTAGTTTATATCAATTGTCTTTCGGTAAAATCGGTTTCCTTGTCGCAGAAGTTCCGAGAGCCTACTAATGACCCTAAGTGAGAACTTACTATAGCGTGAGAGCAGCCAGATGAGCCTGGAGCTGGGGAAGACAACATGGACAACAGCTCTTGATCTTGAAGAACAAACATAAGGAGCAAAAGTGGGAAGGGAAAAGGAGCGAACAGGTGAGGGGCAGCAGCTTTTGGAGGGCTGAGGACAGACACAGGAGAGCTAGCGGACGAAGGGGTCAGTGTGCAGACGCTAAGACCAAACCCAAACCCGGAAACCCAAACCTCTTCTCAATTATTTCAGGGATAATGGAACGTTAGCTTTTTCTGCCTTCCACACTCTTCAGTAACACATAATTTTACACCAAGAAATGGGGGCAGCTTCATTTCAGGACGAGGCTTCCTAGTTCAGTGGTCTGCAAACTCATTAGTCAACAGAACCAAATATCAACAGTACAACAATTGAAATTTCTTTTGAGAGTCAAAATTTTTAACTTCTTCTAACGCCACTTCTTCAAAATAGACTGGCCCAGGCTGTGGTATTTTGTGGAAGAGCCACACTCAAGGGGCCAAAGAGCCACATGTGGCTCGAGAGCCGCAGTTTGCTGACCACGGTCCTAGTTTACTGTGGAGGCAGCTGGGCTGAGAGGGACTCGCAGGAAGGCATCTGAGTCCGTATTAGACGCCGCACTGGCACCTGCTTCCAGATCCTGCTGCCCACACCCTCGCTCTGCTTTCCTTGACCTCCACAGAAATTGATTTCCCAG